TGTTTGCCCCCTTCCCTGACACTATATGGGATACTAAGCTCATCCCCAAATCTCTCTGCTGCTTGCAGAGCAGGCTGCTTCTCAATGTCTGTCAAGGTCTGGTTCAAAAGCACCATAACATCTCTCCAGGAGAGATCACATATTTGGGTGAAATTCTGGAAAGCCTCTATATATCTTTTGGGGTCATCTTAAAACTTCCCAAAATCCCCCTTAATTCACTTTAAGTCCTGTAGAGAGGAGGGGACCTGGACCTTACTGGGCCCAAATTCACCAGACATTGGTTTAATGGGCAAGAGTGAGGTTGGGGCTTGTGTAGGGTAAGGAATTTTAGAAGGGGGCAAGTGAGAGGCTGAAGCTGAATAGGAAGGTCGGGGTGAACCCAGAGGGGAAGAGCTGGGGGGGCTGGCTTCTCTGCTTGGGGTGCCTCTGGGATTCATATCTTTAGTTTCCTAGGCTTGCCCCTTGCAGTCTTCCCTGAGATGGCAAACAGGAGGACTGGATCAATCCTACACTGTCAGCAAAGGTCTAGATTGCCTTGCAAGGTATAGAAAGCCTACACATGTGGGACCTCAGACCATCTATCCTCATGTGTACAGAAAAAGTCCGACTGCTGGATAGTATTGAAATGTATGGTTCCTTCCTGAGGCCCACCCAGTCCTTCATAATTTGGCCAAACCTTTGTGTAGAGGGCTATGAGGCATTTTTCTTCCCGATTAAGAGGGTCAAAGCAGTCCCATTGGTTCTGGATACACTCCAGAGGGGTATAAGCTGGGGATGGTGAAGAGAGATGGATACCTATTCTGAAAGACAGAGAATAGAGGCATCCCTCATTCCCTTCTTTCTTTCAGTGAAAACTCAGGGTGTGACGGATAGAGAAAGTGAATGTCCTTCCTTTCTCTTCCATCTTTTTGTTCCTGAGCCCTGGTGACCTTGGCAGGTGCCACTCATGATTACCAATGTGGCATGCACCCATGAAGCAGAAAAGGCCTAGATAACAGGAATTATTTGCCTTCACCTATGCCTCCATCTTCCCCTGCTGTCAACAACCTTTGAGTTCCCTGGGCCTCATTTATGCCATGAAGCATGGCCTCCTTCCATGGGTGGGGATTTAGTGTGCAGGAATTGGTCCTGCCCATTTACATTGTGCCTGATGCCTGGCTTTGGATCCCTCAGATCTGGTTTTCCTTTCTAGGGCCTCAGTCTGAAGTTTGGAATCAAGTGTGGGACTAGAAAGTATTTCAAGAGGCTGCACATATCTGTTTAGATTGTTTCAAATGAGCTCTGCCAAGTGTGCTGGTATCATCCGGCGGGGCCTGCTCCTCTGTTATTTTCCCTTTCAGCAGCAGAGTGCTGGGAGGGGGAACCCTCTTGCTTAGAAAAGGAAAAGAAAAAAACCAAAAACCCAAAACAGTGTAAGGGGAGAGAGGGGAAGGTACTGGGGGAATGTTAGAAACAAATTTTCAATGCCGCTAAAGAAATAGCACTCGAACACAAATTTTCTCAGCAAGGCAAATTTGCTTCTGCAGGAGGGTGTGTCTCGCATGTGGAGCAATGGTGAGAGCACCCAGAACAAAGGAAAGAAGGGGTTTTTATTGTCTCTTAACGCAGCTTGTCCCTGTAACTGTACCGTGCCTCCATTGGCTGGAGTTGGACTGCACAATCTAAGCTGAACCTGGTTGGCTAACTTGAAAAGTGCAGGAATGTGGTTACCCTGGTGGGTAGGCAGGAAGATCAGTTTCAGCAGGAGAAGCCTTTGTGATGGGAGGAGTAATTCACAGAGTGGGTAGCAGATGTTAAATGTGCACTCTATAGATAAGGACTGGTGGGAAGGTTGTTTACCAGGGCCAGGGGAACACAGAGAGTAAGGAAGTCTGGCCTTGAAAGCAGGGGGCAAAGGACAAGAAAATTTAAGCAAGCTAAACCTTTGAAGAAGAATTTCCTACTGTATTTAACAGGGAAGAACCCCTTGCTCAGTGCAAATTTTTTGCTTTAATCATTGTATCTTTCCCCAAGATCGAACCGGGCTGAACTCCTTGGCCAGAGGAGGGAAAGTTCCATCGGCGTGGCAGCCAAGAAGTGCTGGCTGGCCTTTCCAGCAGGGCCCCTGGCAGAAGCCACTGTTTCTCCCACCCCTTGTGGCCACTGGGCATGGCTTTTGCATGCTGTGGACATTCCTATGTGCCCGAGCCAGGAGGGGAGCTAGTATGAGAAGGGGGGCAGTGTACCATGAGCAACTGTGTCTGTCAGAGGGGATGTGGGCATTGGCGCATTCGAGAAAAAACAAAAACCACATTGTTCTGATTTGCACCTTTGATGGCTAAGCCAAACACTCATTCTGTTTAATAGTATAGCCACAGCCTGTAGCAAAACTCTTAACTTTATAAAGGAAGAAATAAGAGCCATTTCAAACTGTGAAAGAAATAAAGACACCAAGTGAAGTCTGTGGGTCTTGGCCAATGGAGTTCAGTCTTGGGGCCTTCCAGCAAAAATGCCTTTGGTTGTCTGAGGGTTTTACTCCAGTCCAATGTGGCAACCAGACCCCTGTGAAGGGAAACAGAGCAGGAAAGAGAGAGGTGGCAGGGCCCTGGAAAAGATACAGATCTGACAGTTTCACATCTGTACTCCCCCTCGCGATGAATATCCCAGACAGGGCTCCAGCTGAAATGGAAGAGCTCCCTTATCCCTCTTGCAGGACACACAATAGGGGTATGGCTTGCCTGTTCAGTCACCCCACTGCTCAAACCCCCAGGGGAGCATGCAGATGGGCAGGTTACAGAGGCCAGGGTGAGTGCTTTGGGCTTTGGCCCTGTGGTAGTGTCTAGGGGTGGGTGCCTGCAACCCCCCTGTTACAAGCTCTTTCAGCTTTCCCGTCCACAGACATCTTGAGTGTTAATCAGCTCAGTGGACCCTCTGCTGTATCACAAAGGCAGGGGGCCAGTGTGACAGCTTTCTGTAACCTGAGTTCTCACCCCCAGCATCCCAGAAGAATCAGATCACACACGGGCTCAGAAGATGAGTGCAAGGTTTTATTGAGTGGTGAAGGCGGCTCTCAGGGAGATGGATAGGGAACTGGAAGGAGGAATGGAGCGGAAGGTGATCTTCCCCTGGAGTTGGGCCTCCCAGTAGCTGGACTCTTCTCCAATCGCCCCAGTCGAACTCTCCTCAGTGTTCAGCTGTCCCTCCTTTTTTTTCTCTCTCTCTGCCACATCATTTCGCTGTACGTCTGCTTGTCTGCTGGTCTGCTGGTCTGCTTCTGGTGCCTGGGGTTCAGGGTTTATATGAGTGCAGGACAGGGAGTGTGGGGGGCCAAAAGGCAACTTTTTGCTCACAAAAACAGAAATGTCTGTTCCCATTTAGGACCATGGGTCTTCAGGCTTGTGGGTGGGGCCTTTGCTGGGAACCACACTTCTATCCAGTGTTTCCCTGTCTCCTGTCCATATCACCTTCAGTCTTACCTTGCCCACATGGGGAAAGCATCATCTTCCTGGTTTCAGTCATACTGGATGAGGCGGGAGTCCTGCCACAGGGAGCGGGATTCCAAGTGCAATGAGTCTGTGGACTCTGAGGTGGCTTGGCATGGGCGCCCAAGGACTGGCTATGTGAAGAGGATGTCCCTGCAGAGGGAGGAAGCCCAACGTGGAGGGTGAGGCCCCGAGGAGAGTGAGAAAGATACTGAAGGAGAGCGGACTAGCGGGGGCAGTGAAGCCTAAGCAGGGGGAGGAGGCTATGGACACAGCTGAGTGGCCTGGCATGGGCACTCGGAACTCAGCAGGAACTACAGCAATTCTTAGAGCTAAGAGTGACAAATTTGTGTTGGGAGGAGAACCATCTTCTTAACGACATTCTTTAGATTCACTGGTGCCATGTGCTGGTAAACTGTAGCTGTTTCAACATCAAACACGCATAGTGCCCCCTGCAGCCTGCAGGTGAGTGCTTGGCACTCCCTGACGGCGGGTGGTAGGCCTCATGCACGAGTCCACATTGCTACAAAGCAATTGACGGGCAACAGAGACAGTGTGATGAGGAATGGGATCTTTACAATAGTCCCAAAGTGTGTCCTCACAACATAGTCACTGATTGAAACCAGAAAAAGAACGTATTTATGGTGGCGAAGCATGACACCCACCACCTTAATTCAATGATCAACATGAACATCATCAGTCTTGGGGCAAACTAAAGTCCCATGCTGCCCGGTAGAATGGGAGGAGCACAGCGGGTGTCTATGGTATTTCTGCCAAAGTTACAGAACCTGAATCTAATTGTGAGCCAATACATCAAAAAAAAAAGAACAACAGCAACAAACCAAAAAATAAACAAAGTGAGGGGCATTCTACACAGTCAGTCTCCTGTGATCTTCACACGGTGTTCAGGTCATGAAGGTGAAGGGAAGACAGAGGGACTTTGTGGGTTTCAGGACACTGGAGAAGCGTGACAAAGGAATACGGCACATGGCTCACAAACGGATCCTTTGCTATAAAGGACACTATTGGGGCATTGGGTACATTTTGCATAGGGCCTGAAGACTATGTGGAGTTATTGTATCAGTGTTAATTTCTTGATTATGGTTATAATGCGAAAATGTCTTTGCGTGAGAAACATATTAAAGTATTGGGGTGTTGGGGTTTCATGTTGACAATCTCCTCTCATAGGTTCAGGAAAAAATATTTGTACCATGCCTGCAATTCTGTAAATTTGATGTTTCAAGATAATAAAAACAAAAAGGAAACTGAGCCTCAAAATGTTACATAACCTGACCGAGTCCACATGGGTAAAAAGTGACAGCTCTGGGTCAAAACTCAGGTGTGCCTTTTCCCTAAAGCCACGCCCTGCCCTGCCAACCACAAGGCCCTGCACATCCGAGTTGGCCTCTGTTCCTGCTCATCACCTGCAAAACAGCCCTGCCCCCCCCACAGCCGAGTTGCTAGAGCTGCTCCCCATCTGCCCCTGCCCTGCTCTGTCCTGGCTCCCCCATCCCACACCTGGCCCAGCACTCATCTCACCTTGTAGCAAGCAGCACTGGGGCAGCAGAAAGAGTCCATGCTGCAAATTGCACTGGCCAGCTTCCCGCTCCCAGGAGTGGGGTCCATTGGCTGATCTCCTGCTGCCCGGAAGAGCTCCAGACTCCTCAAGGATTTGAGATTCATCAAACCAATTCCAAATAAACCAGGGGAGGTTTTCCTGTCTTGTTCCCATTTTCACCACTTCCACCGTTGGAGATTCCCTCCTAATCCAGATGCTTGAACCAGGACTAGGACTTCATATATCACTGGGACACTTAGCATAATCACCATTGCAGGTTGCCAGACATCACCCAAAGATAGTTCTGCCATAAGACGGAAAGACAGAAACTGCAGATCTCCCATGACTTTCCAGGTGCTGCCCTGATTCCTCTAGCTGAACCCGCCAGAGCAGAGGGAAGCAGAACTTGAAGCATGTTTGCCTGTCATTCTGCCCATGTGCCCACCAATTCAGCTACAAGCTCCAGGGACATGGGCTAGGGGAGCTTGGGGCTCAGGGCTGAGCCAAGTCACAGGGCAGACAGGTTGGCCTGGATCAACCTGACCACGCTCATCTGGAACACTGACTTCTTCATTGTCTGAATCTAAACCAGGAACCCAATGGGGCTTCCTTAGTGCCTGTGTAAGGGCTTTCGGCTTTCACTGCTAAGGAGCTTGCTAGGGACAGGGTGGGTGACCTCAGCCAGGGGAGGATTTCTCTTCTTACAGACCTGGAGAAATCTCTTTGGCAGGTTCTGTGCTCCCCTGAAGGGTCCTTGGAGATCCTCTAGCCTGAGTGCTCTTGGGGAAATGTGCTGTGTAAACACCATGCCCATTTCCTGCCTAGAGCACAGGTTTTGTGGTAGGGCTCTCAGGGGTGGGAGGAAGCCTGGCAGCCCCCACACCTATAAACGCTGCTGTCTACCTTGCCTTCTGACTTGGAGGCAGAGACCCAGGCAACTGGAGGCTCTGTGTGTGGGTGAGTTTAGCCCCATCCCCTGGGTGTTCTCCAGCTTGAGGATCACAGGCAGACAGGACCAGCCAGCAGCCACAGGCCTGACCAAGGCCCGGGCTGGGAAGAAGGGTGACTCCCCATCCCCTACTGGGAGGTGTTTCACAGCACAGTCAGCATAGGTAACCTGCAAAGATCCTCATGTTTGTTATCTTCTTTGGCCAGATCCATCCCTACAGGGTTCAGCAGGGTCTACAGGAGGGGCAGTGAGAGAACAGACCCCAAAAAGAAAGGGGACTCCATCATGACCACCTTGAAGGGGGCCAGGCTGCAGGCCCCATTCATCTCTTTTCATTCTCAGGTTGCTGATTTCTCTTTTTTTTTTTTTTTTTGAGACGGAGTCTTGCTCTGTCACCCAGGCTGGAGTGCAGTGGCCGGATCTCAGCTCA